ATTTGAGCGATGCATTAGAAGAAAAGAGGCCATTTACTGGCCAAGGACGTCGTAAAGTGATCTTGCTTCATGACAATGCTCGACCACATGTTGCGAAAGCGACTCAGGATCATATCTTTGCGTTAGGCTGGGAACTTTTCCCGCGGCGTATAGCCCAAACATGGCGCCTTCCGATTACTACCTATTCCGGTCGCTGCAGTATCATTTGGCTGATACACATTTCGTGAGATTTTAAAGAGATACGAAAATGATGACTTTATCGCTTCGAAGCCGGTGAGTTTCTATCGTCAAGGAATTCGCAAGCTATCCGAAAGATGGCAAAAGGTCGTTGATGCAAACGGGGAATATTTTGCTGATTAATATTTTTTTGTTTTTGAATAAAGATTGAATTTTACAAAAAAAAGCTTAGAACTTTTTTGTACACCTAATAATATCCCATGCTAAACGCCTTGTAATGTTGATAAATGAATCTCTTATCGAGATTTCCCGCGCACCGTCAATCTTCCTTTTCTAAAACGCACTTCAGATCGTACACATATGAATCGGAGTTTTTCTTTCCTGTCGTGATTGCGGAAAGAAAGCCACTTGTCCTCCTCGCTGGGAAGAATAACGGCGCAGTTGTTCGCTCTTCCGCACTCGACGCTATGCGCAACCAATTTTTCGTTCGAGTAAAAGTAATGCAGACATCTGAAAAAAACGATCTATGATTAATATAAAATTTACCTCGTGACGAGCATAGTCTCTCTCTTACACTTACCGATCGCATATATACTTTCTCTCCTTATGCCTGTTTATTTGGGATCCCAATAGTCGAGACAGGTGCTTTATCCATACGAAGTGACTGACGTTATCGCTGCGCCACTTGTTCGACAGATAGAGCAAATTCACATGAGTAGACCTCTTGTTCTCCATGAGCAACAAGGGAACGATCTTGATACCGTTCCTCTCCCTTTTCTCTCGAATGGCAAATACGTTGATAGACAAATCGTTAAGACGCTCGAATCTAGCAATTTGTCATAGCGTCATAAGAAACTCGATACCGTTGAGATTCAACATCATCGAATAGTGAGGATATGACGAAGGTCTCTCCGGATGTAGATCAACGGAATATAGAGCAGCCATTACCGCCCACGCAAAACACGCCTTATCGTTTGAACGTACATTAATCACGATTCTCTTATTCCTTATCTCCGGCGGATATCCAACATCTAGCGTGCATGGGATTACACTTGTTCACATTGAATCAAATTTAATATCCGATATAATGTCCAACCGCTGTCGCGTTCCTAAAATTCCTCCAGTGCCGTCAAAATAACATCCATAACATCTCTGTCGTATTCTCGTAGATCGGATATACCGAATAGATGACGATTCCTCGTGCAAATGCTCTTAACAGCGCTCTTATTATTCGCAACGAACTCCCCGTGAAACACGATGTTACCTTTCAAACACGTGTGTATACCGAGATTGACGCGCATTCGCTCGAGCACCATGTCTCTCGCGTCCTCGAGAAACCGCTGGAGTTCGATGTACTCGATGTTTATCACTACACCCGTTTGTATGCGTTTTGCGAAGACCATCTTGATATCCACTCACTCGAACTCCTTTGAATCGTCGTACCCTGCACCCGCGTAACCAAAACGTCGATTCAAAGCGATTCTCCAACTGCATTATTTGAGAGACCAGAGAATTTATCGTTCCGATAACCATAGGGTTGACTCTATTCTCGCACCTGTCTCGCAAAATCTCAAGACACTCGACGTATTCTCGTTCCCACACACGATAGGCGCACATCCCTTTAACTCCTGCCGCGCGCTCGAGAAGACTCTTCTCCATATCATCACCCCGAGCGTTCGCCGAGATAACGCAACCTCCACACGGTGTTACCCCGACCGTCCGTAGGAATGACGAATTTGACGTCTCGAATTTCTATCTTTTCTCTCTCGCTTTTTTCTCGTAGATCACCGCTCTGTCGCTCAGAGCGAGCAACATTTCGATCCACAGTTTCTCTCGTGGGATCTCTATACCGATCTCGTCGCAGGTGATGCGTGGTTATGTTCCAACGACCGTCCTCTCTCATCACGATCCATTCCTCCATTACTAGGCGCGATAGTCTCGTAACATTCTAAACTATCGTTACTATCAGTGTAACGGTACGTCCCTGCGCGCTCGAATCTTATCTCTGGGCACGGACGCGGGGACGTGCGCTCGGTTATCGCTCGTCGGATGCCGGGTTCGTGTGAGATGCTGCGGCCGCTGGGCTTTAATTTCTAATTATAATAAATTTGTGACGCCTCTCGCTTTGCGCAGTCGTTCTTTGCCGTTTTTTCTTGGCCGGTCGCTTTGTGATGTAACGCGATTCGATTACGGATATGTCGGACGCCGGGAGTCGTATCGGGATGCGCGTTGCCAGGCAACCGGGCCCGCGCGTGTGCGTTGCTAGGCAACCGTTTACGCTAGCCGTGACACGTGGGGCGGATGTCGCGGGAAAGTCCGAGAACGCTCCGATTTTCGAGATGAGATGGAGCGACAATACTGAGAACTCTCGGTATTGTCGGGAGGAGGAAAATCTGAGAACACTCCGATTTTTCCTCAGAAGGGAGATGCAAGAATATCGAGAACGCTCGGTATTCGTTGCGGAGCGAGAAAGCTGAGAACACTCCGAATTCTCGAGAAAGGATAGAATAGGAATACGGAGAACGCTCGGTATTCGCTGAGAGAATCTTCTCTCGCTGTTCTGGTCGGAACGGTTGTCTGTGACGAATAGGTCGGAGGAGCGGATAGGACTGGTCTCGTCTTAAAATTTGTCGGGTATTTATACCCGTATCCGCGCCACGTGTCACCGTTTAGTTTGTTAGCGTTTGTTAATGTAACAATAGCTGTCACGTCGTCGATGCGTGACAGCTCGCCGGCGCGCGTGTGTCGATCGGTCGCGGTCGGGATTGTTCGGGCGGCCTCGGATGGCGCGGGCCGCATTAGCGCTAGTAACGGAGCATCTTTCGGATGCTCTGTTACACCAGTAACCGATCTCGCAACGATCATCATCACTGATATTGCCATCGAAATCGCGATACGTTACGATATCGGTATCGTGATCGAATGCGCATACAAGCGAATCGTCGCTTTTGCTCGAGAACGAACCGTCACAACCGCCGTTATACCCGAATTCTTTCATATATTACTTTCTTAATAATGAAAAAAATATGTCTCTCGCGACATAAATATATACTCCGAGGCAGCGTCGAAGACGCGCCAAACCGCGGCATCCTCTCGTCGCAGGACGCACTAAACCCATAGAAGACGTCGAGACACACAGGACGCGCGTCTTCCTCTCGCCAGACCTTGTACGAAAACA